CAGTATATATATTTAAGCTTTATTATAAGCATCAAATTATTAATTTGCTGTTGGAACATTGCTATATGACAAGTAATTAAGTATCATTATCCCTCTTTTTACAGATGGGAAACTCAAAATACACATTTGTTTAGTAATTTCACAAAAACACCCACTTCTGTACACTAAAACCTGTGCTATCAATTAAGCGAATACTATAAAATCAAAGTAGAATTTCACCCACTTGCAAAAATATGCAGAAGGCATTAATTCAGAAAAGACAACATAGGATACATGACTATTCAAAAGGCCAGCCTTAAACAGTTTCATCACTTTATTTCCCTTCTTTTTTTTTTCTTTTTTAAAAAACTCAATGCAAGTATTGACTACAGTGGCTACACAATTTAAATGAGACCCTGATTTTCAATTTGGAAAAAGGCCTTGGGCCAAATTTGAGGACCTCCAGTCCACAGTGCCCCAAAGCCATCTAGAAAAGCCAGGTCTTTAAAAATTTGTGAAAGCACATCATGTCCCCCCCACCACCAAATCCTGCTGTGCTGCTCATCATGATGGCAGGTGGTGGGGTATTCTTGGGAGGTATGAGTGAAGAACACTGGGAGTGTATGGCAAGAATGACCCAAGACATAAAGATGATCTCAGTTGCCAGCTAAGGCAAGCAGGCACCTATATTGGGCAGCAGTGATATAGGAAGATGTCGGAGGCAAATGATCACTTCAGTGATAATGGCAAAGGCATCACTTGATACTGCATGGGAGAAGGCAATGATAAACTACTCATGTGTTTTATCAAGGAAGCCATATGGATCGACAAGATAAAGCAGTGTTTTTCAAACCTGGCCACTTTAACATGTGTAGACTTCAACTCCCAGAATTCCCTAGCTGGCTGAAGTTCATATCTTAAAGCGGCCAGGTTTGAAAAACACTGTGATAAAGCAATTGACAGTAGAGTACCAGATGATTGGCCCCTCAAATCGGATGGCACTCAACATGCTACTGAGGAAGAGCTGAGGAGCTTTCATGATACCAATGGTATTCATGACGTGTCTACATTAAAGCCTTCGAGACTCATCATTTACAAGGAGGACATCAAGAATTGCTTTGAAATCCTGAACCTTCTTGATAGGGAACCAGAGAAATTGTAGAATGAATTCAAATAGGTTGTTAATGATAAATGTGAAAAGAGACTGCCAAAGACCAAGAAACAGAAGAAAGTAAACTGAATGTTTACTTCAGATAAACATTAAGATAAACCAAACCAAGAAAGACAAAGATTTGAGGTGGAAGTTAACAAAGAATTTCAGAGGGCTGTTAGAGGAGACAAGAAGCAATATTACAACAACATCTATAAAGATATAGAAGATGGATACAAGGAGAGAAAAACAAGGAAAGTTTTCCAAAAGATCTTCAAACTCAAAAGAAGATTCCAACTTTGAATTGGTATGCTAAAGGACTCCAATGGACAGATAGTAACCAATTCAAAGAAGATCAAACAAAGATGGAAGGGGTATTGAAACTGTGTAGGGATGTCAACATACAAGATACCTTAGCAGATATTCCCTATTTACAAGAACCTCTAGTCCTAGAAGATGAAGTTAGATCAGCGCTTAGGTCATTACCAAGACTACAGGAACTAATGGAATATTTACAAAAAAACCGCAACCAGCAGAAGAACTATCAGTACAGATTCTAACCAAACTATATCAGCAAATCTGGAGAATGACCCAATGGTCAAAAGATGGGAAAAAATCAGTCTACATACTTATACCAAAGAAAGAAGACTGAGTATGGAAATTGTCATATAATATCCTTAATTTTATTGTCTAGCAAAATAACGCTTAGGATCATCCAATGCAGATTAGAGCCCTGCATGGAAAGTGAGATGCCAAATGTTCAAGCTGGCTTTAGAAAAGGCCAAGAAATATGCACGCTAGATAATTGAGAAAACCAAAATATTCCAAAAATGAATCAATATGTCTTTCATTGATTATAGAAAGGCCTTCAATTGTGTCAACTGTTTTAAGCTATGAAATGTCATTAGCAAAATGGAAATCCTAGAATATTTCATTGTTCTCATGTGACACCTATATACAAGACAGGAAGCCACAGTTCAGACAGAACATAGAAAAACAGATTGGCTCCAGGTGAGCAAAGGAGTGAGACAAGACTCTTCTTATTTATTTAACATATTTGTTGAATAAACTGTATATTGAGGGAAGCTGGATTGGAAGAAGATGAGTGTGGTTGTAAAACTGAAGGAATAAACACCAATAACCTGCACTATGTTGATACCTGAAAATGCAAATCATCTTGTACTCTAATAATTAAAGTCAAAGAGCACAGTGAAAAAAATGAGACTCAAATTATATTTAAAGAAGACCAAACTAATGACACAGGTGCAGCAACAAGCCTTAGAATTGACAATGAAGCTGTTGAAGTGATAGATAGTTTCTGCCTTTTAGAATTGACTGTCAACAGTAAAGGAACCACCAGTCAAGAAATATGACACAGACTAGCACTTGGTAGAGTAGCAATAAAGGCAGTGAAAAAGATATTCAGATTCTGTGATGTGTCTGTACCTACGAAGATCAGAATCATGCAAGCAAGGTTTTTGCTGTGACACTCTCTGGAAGCGGAAGTTGAACTTTGAAGAAGTAGGATAAAAAGAGTAATGAACATGTTGAACTTTGGTGTTGAAAATGACTCTTGAGAATAGCATGGCTAGCCAAGAAGACAAGCAAGTGAATCACAAAACAAATCAATCCAGAGTTCTCACTTAAAGTACAAATGACCAGGCTCAAATTATATTTTGGACATACTATGTGAAGATCTAGCTCTCTAAGAAATCTATAATGCTAGGAAAGATGGAAGGAAAGAGTGGAAGAGGATGACCAGCAGCAAGGTGGGTGGATCCAATTACAGCAGCAATGGGTGCTCTGTTGAAAGACCTGAAGGACCAGATTATCGACAGATTATTCTGGAGAAGGTTTATCTGTGTGGTTGCTAGGAGTTGATATCGACATGATGGCACATAATCACATAAGAGGCAGGGCCATATGCCCTTTGAGGGGAATGCTGTTTCATAGTGAAGACCCACAGCTTAGGTCCACAAGATGATATTGCCTTACAAATGGGACCTGGCGCAATCCAATTCTGACAAATTTTACTGCAGTACAAAAACAATAAGAGAGAGGTGTTCCTGTAGGTGTTCAGGTCCTAAGCCATGAAGGGCTTTATAGATGACAAGCATACCTTAAATTGCATCTGGAAGTTTACCAGTAACCAGTGCAGCTCACAAAATAGAGTTGTTGCATGGCAAAATGGGAAATGCTACTTGTGTCACCACATTCTGGAAGTGGTCTTCAAAAGTAGCCTTATATAGAGCAAAGTGCAGTGGTCCAGACAGGAGGTGATGAAGACATGAGTGACTGTGAGAAGGTATAGATATATATTATAGATTTGTTGCTTATTCTTGTTTTTGAAAGCATGCCAACAGTCAGATTTCACAGCCCTTTTCCTCTCCTATGAGAGAAGTAGCAGACAGCACCTATGCTGCAGTAGTTCTGAGATACTATAACATTATCTTCCCAGAACGTTGAGATTTGCTGCAGTATTTGGATTTCTTTGATCTTCCTGAATTGGCCCAATTTGGTTGTGGATTCAAGATTTGTCCAAATCTGTTGTATGCTACTAATATGCCTTTCATTTTATCATTCTTAAGCCAAGAAACAATCTGAACGTATGCATTAGGACTATGTGTGCTTTGAAAATGAATCAGAAGTGGTCTAGATTATATGCAGGTATAACACCTGTCTGCTGTTTATTAAAGAAGTCCTATGTTTTTCAGGTTTCTATGTGAGTTTGAAAATAAGATACTGCTGCTTTAAGGAATCTTCTCATTAAAGTTAATGTGTTTGTTAAAGGGGCAGCCTTTTTTTAGGCTCAAACAGAAGTCTGAAAAAGTTGGGATTCTTTAAGGAATAGCAGAGAGGAGACATGCTTGTATGAGGTCCAAAGAACTTCTGAGAGTTTTCAAAACATGCACAACTTTGCTGTTCATGTTTATTCAGAATAAGGCTGAGTGAGTTCAGCAGGACTTAATCCAAAGTAATTGTGTATAAGATTGCAACTGAAAACTCATAACAAGTGAATTAAGTGGCTTATCTGAACACAGGCAGCAGCTGATACTTTACCTTGATTTGTGGCCTTACATCAGAAGTTACAAAAAAATATTAGATTAGGGCTATAGCAATGCTTTTGGAAAGATGAAAATATTTCAAATCCCAGATGATAATCTCTAGGTATAATCCTGTTTATGCTGTGTGAAAACCACTGGGAAGTTTTTACAAACTGATCAAGAGAGATAGTTGCACTCAACCCAGAATGGTATTGCCAACAAGAAATACTGGTTTAGCTTATCTAAAGCATAATCAGAACTATAAGCAGTTTTTAATCCCCCTTCCCTAAAATACTTTGGGCAAATTGAATTTGGAGTATACATCTGTACAAATACATTTTAAATTCTATTGATTTAATTTTGTATATTAAATGGGATTACAATCCTATGGTGATCCTCTGGTATTAGGGAGGGGCCTGTGGTAGGGCTACCATAGTAAGCTGCAAAATGCCAGATGATCAATGGAGAGTTTCTGTATCTGGTTGCTGACCTCTAACATTCATCCAGATTTTTACAGCCTAGACCATGAGTACTACAAACAGCTCTTTCCATGGACTGGTCCTCTTAGAGACTGAGAGACCCAGACTACTTCCCCTTTTCTTATCCAACTATAATAAAAATAAAAATGAATATTAAATATTAAAAACAGTAAAACTTAATTTGAATGGTTTATAAATTTTATAAAGAATCACTAAAGAATTTAATATATCAAACTAATTTATTTCCTAAACAGTTTTCTTAACAGTATTAGAGCAATATTTATCCTATTTAAAAATGTCTAGGGATTTTTATCTTATCTTACCTTATCTTTCAAGGTGGCTTACATTTTAAAAATTCTATATAATAAAATAGCAAAAATAAATACAATCCATTAACATCAACAGTAATGCAGTTTAGACAGTACAAAACTCAGAGATAACAGGTGCGACTCAAGAACAGTCCAATAAATCGCAATCAAGAAAAAGCTGAAGATTTTTTTTTTTTAGGGATTTCCTAACAGTGTGCCCTGATAAGGCCTAATATAAACTGTATCAGAAGAAACAGCTTGTCAGGAAATGACCACAGAGGCATATATTGATTACATACAATATATGCACTCATAGTCCAGAACTGAAATAATGGCAGAAGTAGAAAACTGGAGATAGCATCAATCCGCAGTTTGTGAGAGGGTAGCACAGAGGACCATATGGAGTTTCTTCTACTTTTACTTATCCTGATTATTGCATGTGCTATTTGCATGTGCACAATAAAACTTGGTCTATATATTACACTTACCTATAATGTGATTTGTTTGGTTTTAGCTTAGTGCAATCTATTAATTTAGCCATTACAGTTCATAAACCATATTTGGTGTCTTAGTGCAGTGGATATAGTGAATTGTGGCTTAGTAAGCCATGGTTAAACAAGTTATGGCTTAACATAATGAATGAACCTGACCTGTGTGTATCGGTAGATATCCAGACCTGAATGATCCTTAAACTGGAGGGCAACACCTCCTTTAGCAGCACTGTATGCAGGATATCTGTTGTGTTAGGGGCTGAAGTTCTGTAAAAGGGTAGGAAAGGATGAGATTCTGAGACAGTGCCTGCCTTCTGCCCAGCAAAGCCATAAAGCACTGTTCCCCAATTTTGTACTCTCCAGATGTGTTGGGTTTACAGGCCACAGAATTCCTAACCAAAGTTACAGAAAGATTTCTTGGCTGGGAATTCTTGAGGTCTTAGTCACAACATATCAGGACAGCACCAATTTGGTGAAGGCTGCTCTAAGGTTAGGATTAGCATTCAGTCCATAGGTATTTGTAAACTACAGTAGGATACATTACAACTTTGTATGAGGATCTGCACTCACTCACTTGCAGAACAGACAATGTTCTGTGGTAGTTTGGGGAAGAGGGGACATACTGTAGGTAGAATGCACTTAGAAATGTTTATTCACTCATCAAAAAACAACAGGGAAGCTGAGTTGGAGCTAATGTTCCTTATCATATAGTATAAATATAGTAGCAAGGTATTCTACATTTCTTTAATTGGCTACTCATGAAGGTTTAATGAGTGAAAAGTTTTTCTTATTTTGCCTTATTTTGCCTTTTGCAGTATCTTGCCTTTTTTTCTCTGTTTTGTGGCATTATTTCTTCTTAATACATGCAATGTTTTGACTGTATATTTTGCATTTAAGTTCACTGTGAGTTCTTGCTTTATTTGTCTGCTTCCTGTAGTAGCTGATATCTACACTTACAGCGTCTTTGCCACTTCTATTAATGTAAATGGCATATTTCATATTTCATGCAAATAAGGCCACTTCACAAAGCTCTTACATTAGAGACACGTCTGAAAGTGAAAGAAATAGGCAGTGCTTGTCAGGGTCACAAGCAGTGATAAATACTGTTTACTATGATCATATTCTACTTTTATTTTGAAAAATGAAATTTCTCCATAATCAGGATGGTTTGGCTGACATATAAGTCATTCAGAAAGTTCAACTATCATTCACAAGAGGTACTAGTTTTTCATTTCTACAGAATCATTTTTAAAGTCAGTTAAAACAGTCTTCAGAATTGCAGTAAAGTAAGCCTATGGAATGCTTGTGCAAAACTGAATTACAAGGTTTACTCCAAGTTCTTTTTGAGGAATATGAATGTGTGCAAATGCTGGGAGACGTTTTCACTGGGTATGGTAAATGCAAGTGGAAGGTTTCAGATAACACCAGAAGAATGTTCTACCCAGATATTGCTATAGCAGTGGTAAATATATTTCCTCACATACTAGGCATTTTTTAAAAACAACATATGGGTATTTGTACTAGAAGTATAGAATCCAGGCCTGTTCAAAAGTTTTCTGTGTGTATATGGAGAGAGGAGGACAGGAAGAGACTCTTGAGCAGGATGGATTTTGTGGGCTACTGTATCTGAGTGCACTAAAAGTATATATAGGTGATACAACTAGAATATGCAGCCTTGCCATGCTACCCATTTTAAAATCATCACGCTCAAACAGGGCTAATGAGAGCAAGACCAGTATATTTTGGAAATCTAGATTGCTAAAAACTTGTTATTGTATACAGTTTTTCTGTAAGACCACTCCATTCATTAGGTACCTTCCAGTGTAGCATATTTTAGCAGCCTAGAAGAACATGTACAGGTATCTACAACAAATAAATAAATGTATGATGATAAAAAAATTAACACAAACAGTTGATGTAAATATAATTACTGATAAATATTTTTCTCATCATATGTGCTTGGTTTCACTTGGAAGGAGACAGGAAGAAACTTAACTTGGATTAATAGTTATTTCCTCTCTTTAGGGAAATTTAAAAACAGTAGAATATTTATCATAATTGAATTCCCAGTATTTTTTTGAAGGATGTTATTACTATCAGATATAAAACTGGTATATGTTTACTTTGTGGATTTGCCCTGTGACTCATATGGAGCTATGTGATGCTAAGAGGCATTGTTAGCATAAACTCAATGGCCACAGTTAAAATCCTTTAACAGGTTGCTTTTTCATTCTGTTCTTACCAAGTATCAGGAAGTAGAAATCTACTCTAAAATGAAACAGTTGCTCCAGTTCAAGTACAAAATGTTAATATTCTCAGGTGTTTGTTAGTAAACATGTACACTTTACAATATTTGGAAGGACAATCAAAGTAGTTTTACAAGCTTTCTTACTAGAAATTTATAATCTTACAATAAGTAGGGGATTAGAGTATGGAAAGGCAAATCAGACCAAGAAAGAAGCAGTTACATGGTATTTTTCTCAAGTGGGGTGAATCCAATTTCTCCAGCGAATGGAATGCAAATAATATGTGTACTGATCAACAAATTGAATACTATTTAAATAATTTGCTTGGCCTTTCTCTATTTGCCTTTTTTAAAAATTAAAGTTCTGCATGTACATTTATACAATTAAATATACTTTACTTTTTAAATTTTAAAAGCACTGGATGAGTTTAAGAGTTGAAACAGTGCTCCACGGAGGACTTTTATGCTATCGTGCTTCAAACCAGTCAAAGCTGTCCATAGCTCACTGTTTCCTGCACATGTGAGCTGCAAAAGAAGATGGTGTATTTGAACAGTAATTAAGTAATGTTAGGATTGTGAAAGCTATGAACATTAACCAGGCATATTAAGAGTTTTCTGCTATTGATATGATGGAATATTCTCATTAAACCACTGTCAGAAACAATGAGAATTCATTAGTTAATTGGCTGTACATAGTTGGCAGGAAAGAGACCAAGCTTTCCATGTAAACAGCCTTTCCACCAATGTTCATCAGAGTTGTCCAGGACTTCTATGACATCTCCAGTGCAGAACCCCAGCTCATCGCCCTCCACTGCTTCAAAATCATACAAGGCACGGACCCATTGTGGCCTCTAGTAACAAAGAAAGAAATGCATCAGCCACAAATACAAATCTTAGAGATTATAGTGAAATTTGCTATCATCAAATCACTAATGGCCTAACTTTACTTGCAACGTGGAGAGCTTGTATCTTAGGACATGCTGCTGGATTTAGAGGCAACCAGACAGGATATGGACCAGAGGAAGCAGTACCAGATGATCTATAGCCAGGGAGGAGAGGAGAAGAAACTGGGAAGAAGCCAGTGGCACCTGAAGACCAAGGAAGGTTTTACAAAGAAGTGGTAGAAGGGAGAATGGAGCCCTGGTTTGTAGATGACGGCAAAGCAAAAACCAGGTAGTTCTGGTGCTGGGCAAGAGTGCATTAAGGAGAAAAAAATAGTGGACTCCAGTACAGTAACAGGTTAGGCAGGAAAAGCATTCCTGAGCCATGCTGTTGATAAGTGTGGGAGGAAGAAGAAAGTAGCAGCTCAGAAAAGACTCAGAAAAGAAAGTGTAAGAGCAGAGGTTGGAGTACTTTATGTCTATTAGTATACCTTTAATAGAATATTGTTAATGTATATACTTATATACTGTAGATGCTTGGTTACTATGTACATAAACACTTGGTCACTAGAATTATTGTAAATACATTTTGCGCTAAACTGGTATAATAATAAACAGTACGGTATTTCACTTGTTAGCTCTGTGTGTGTCTGGCTTCATTCCTATCCATACCCACATTCTGATACTTATAAATAAAGATTATAACAGATTGGCACTTTACTTTATAGCATGCCAGCTGTAAAGCTTCTCCTAGCAATGTGGACAGGCATTTAAGAATACAAAAACTACTGGTACTGTATGTAGA